AGCCACTTACAATAGATCGTGTTGCCCACCAGTGAGCTTTATGTACGTAGACTTTATGGGTCACGTATGGAAGGAGGAAGAGGCCTCAGACAAATTGAAATCTCGTAGCAGATTTTAGTTGTAGGGTTGAAAAAGTATGTAGTCAGCTATCAAGATGACACAATTATGAGGCTGGTCATTAAATCTGACCAAAGAATGTGAAACAGGCTTTGTAAGTGTAGCAGGAAGCATTGTGAAGAAGACTGTGCAAGACACGCAGAATACACTGAATTGCTGATGCTTCTTAACATGAAATGTGAGACAAAAATAATGTTAAAGAAATCATGGAGAGACAAAACCACTCCATGGACAATATCTAAAATGTGCAGATCAATAAAGACCAATCATTTATCTTGCATAAAATGTGAAGAATGAAGTCAGACTTGGAAGCAATCGTAATATAGCTGAAGAAGATCAGACGTTGAGAACACATGATAATTCTCAAAATGTTCCAAGATTATAAATGTCTCATTTGTCAGGAACAAGTTGAAACCATTAATCATCTAGTCTTAGCTTGTCCAATTGTGGCAAAGACAGAATAGTTGAAATGATACAATAGGATGATTAGTTATATCCATTGGCAGACCTGTAACGGCCTCGAAGTTGCAAACATGTGCTCCAAGAAGTATGAACACTCATTAAAACTATAGACATCTGTTGGACTGTTTACAAAATTGTTCGACCAACAAATTAAAACTAATTGCACGATAACGGCAAACAAATCGGATAGTAATATCTGGGACGTGGAGAAAAAACATGTCTACTTGTAGATATTGGTGTGACGTGCAATCAAAACGTCGTCACCAAGGAGGCAGAGAAAAGTCTTAAATACAAGAGTTTGGATGACGAGATCAGCCGAATCAAATTCCAGTCCTTTCGAAAAATGCGAAGTACAAAACATTTCTGTTTTGGGAACATCTCACATTTGGTACAAAGTATTGTAGAGGCATTGATATTCGATAGATCTGCTGTTTAGGAAGCTAGTTGCAACGCGGGAAGGTTTTACATTCAACCTATTCATAATATATTTAGTCATGAATAATAAAAATAACAATAATAATGTTAATTAATAATAATAATAATAAAGAAATGTAAGGTCCCATGCATAAGAAATATCAAGCACATAAGAAATACTAATGAGTGATATTATCTAAATTTACATGTGTGACATTATCTAAAGAGACTATAACAGCGGTGAATAAAAATGTCTTTTATAAATATTTTGGAATTCGGCAAAGCCTTACAATAGGTCACACGCAGCAAAAAGAGGAACTGAAGACAGTTTGGTCATCAGTTGAAGGCAGTCCTGAAGTACTGTACTCAAAAAACATAATAGCAGCTATCAATACGTACTTTCTACCAGTACTCACATACTCTATAAATATAAGCAAGTGGACAAAAAACGATATCGAAGCTATATGACTTATGCATAAGAATTCAAATGTCTCAGTTTAGAAATCACCACCACAAAAGCTTATCTCAGAGGATCGCTCAAAAGTGAAAGAAAAGGGGCGGGGTATTAACAAACTGCCAAATCTGCACAAGCAAATCTGTGCTTTGAAAAAGTACTTCAAAAAGAAAGCTTTAACCTCGCAACTACGTAAAATAATCGAACTGACAGTTAATAATTAAACTCCTCTCAGTCATAGATACGATGTGAATCAGCAACAATGATCATTTGAAGATGAAATACAGAAATGGTAGCAGAAGTTACTCCTCAGTGCATACCTTTCAGTAGTAGCAATTCAAGATCAATTCAAGACAGTAATGGTTTGAAAAAACTATTAACTTAATCTTTTAACTCAGAGTTAAATATTCTGAATTACTGCAGGATGAATGACCATTGCAGAATGTGTGGTAAAAGTCCTGAAAAATCCAGAATATTTTCATAGGCTGTAGTGTATTGGCCCACACTGAATGCAAACTAAGACATCACAACATTGGCCGTATAATCCAAGACAAACTCCAAGACATTACGGACTCCTGCAGAATAGTACATCTTATTACAAATTGTCATCCGCAAACAGTCCTAGAAAATAATACCTACAAACTATTAAACTATTCTGGGCGCAAAGATTGTAACAATGAAAACGTCCATCACAAAATACTACAACGTATTACAGTCCTGAAAAATAACAACTACAAAATATTAAACTATTCTGCAAGAAAAGGTCGTAAAAAATAAAACGTCCATCAAAAAAGAGCTGATATCATCTGAGATGAGATATCCAATACGATCTGCTTTTTAGACCTTGCTATGGTAGAAACTAGCACGATCAGGACAGTCTACCAAAAAAGTTGGAATTTCTTTATTTATTGATTAATTGATTATTAATTAACATATTTATTTATTGATATCAATAAGCAAATCGGATGTTGTTATTCGGGCTTTGAAGAAAAAATCGAGTAGATGTTTCCGGGCGAAGTGATCAGAAAGATGTGTCGTAACGAAGGAGGCAAAGAATCGTCTGAAATGCAAAAGTTTGGAAATCGAGATCTGCCGGATACGGGTCGTAGAAACGCAGGTCCTACTGACAGTTATCGGAGCTCTGTTACTTGTTCCTTAACATTCATGTAAGGATTTGTGAAAACTTAGAGATCATTCAAAATACTTGGGAGATTGGGGAATCACGTTATTGAAAACAGTCAGTTGAACAAAATATTGTAGAGGCATTTACATATATACATTTACATTACAGCTGCTCCTTAGAAATCTGAATGCAACTTGGTGTACGTTTTATATTGAACTGGCACCTTACATCTTTAGCCTTTAATTTAGGAAATAATAATAATAATAATAATAATAATAATAATAATAATAATAATAATAATAATAATATCAGCCATAGCATTTTCCAAGGAGTATATTTTAGCCAACTCAGGTTTGGTTGGCTCGAAGGAGCTTCGACTATTCTTAAAAGCAGTAAATACGGCTACTAAAGTGTCAGCATACTTCATATACCAGACTTTCCTATCCGTCATATATGGGTGATAAAAACTGTACGCAGTCAATGAAGTAGCTCTTTAATCTCCTCGAAACTTTCTCTGAAGACATCGGAATTTACTTTCGTATATATAATTGTAGAACAGTGATCTGCATGTGGCAAACGACGAGAGGACTAGAATACGAGACAGCAAAGCAGCGATCGTACATTTGCATACGCAGCATTTTCCGTGCCCTTGCCCAGCGTCTATATGCAGGGCACTGCTGTAGATAGCTGCTTGTTATGTTAATCCGACGGAAGGGGAGGAGAGGGGCTCGGGAACGAGGCGAGAGGCACGCGAGCCACAGGAGCGGGATTCAGAAGGCAATTTGGTCCCATTCTTGCATTTGAGCAGCTTCATATTATATCACTAGAAGTTAGCGAAGTGTATAAATAGTATCTCGAAATAGAACTCGAAAGTGAAGAACCGTATAACCACAGAATCCCTCCCAAAATATTGAAAAATGGTTTTAAAACGTGTTTGAATTTGTAAATGAAATTGATTGATGATTTGGTATTGTAATTGAGCAGACAATTACAAATTCTTTAAGTTCTCAACGAACATAATAAAATTTATCATACAGAAGCAAAGAATAGACAGGTGTGAACCCAGATGACCACATATCGTTATCTTCATTCTAAATCAGCAGTCTGATGATTTAATACTTGGAAAAGATGATCGTTACATTACTAATATAATCAACTGCAATGCTAACCAAATAGCTCCAACAAGAAAGTACTTTCAGAAGAGAACAGATACATCAACCCTGCAGAGCACGGGTTGAGTTAAGTCTCATCCTTTAATTCTTGCCAATGAACATTTACAACCAGGGCTCATGAACAGTGAATCCACGGTTCTACAGTGGTGCCGAAAAGAGTTACAAGGTAGATATTCCAACGAACTATCAGAACAAAATATAGTTTTTTAAAGCTTCTTACAGAGGCTTCATTTATGGATTACGTTACCCAGAACCAGAAGTATTTATTACAACCATTCAAGATCAGGGTATCACAGCGAGAAATTATTAACAATACGTGAAAAGAGACACTTCCATGGAAAGTGACGAATGCAGTAGGTGTAGTACACAACATGGAAACATTCAGCATACCCTTGACGGTTGTAATGTGTTGGCTCCCACTGCCTATAAAGTTAGACATGATATTATGGGTTTAATAATTCATGGACGATTAACACGAAAGTACAGATTTCAGGACTCTAATATTTCATGTCTTAAATACCATTCTTCTACAATCATGGAAAATGATGTGTGAAAACTATACTGGGACTAGAGTACAATTTCACACACACCACAATACCGAACAACATGCTAGTTATAATTGTTCTAACGTGTTCAAGTGAACAGGCACGAAAATCAATTTTGCAGTCGTCAACAATTGCCATTTGAATTCGGTTAACAACACGAAAATTTAGTAGTATGAACCGTTTTCGCAAGAGATTCGTCATCAAAGGAGACAAGGTTTAAGACACGCGTTGTGACAATGACGACACAAAAAGTATGATGAATTGTAACAATGAAGGAATGACACAAAATAGCAACCAAAATGTACTTAACTCCCAGAACAACAATTGGGAATTATTATAATCATAAAACGACAATATAAAACTATAATCTTGGTGGAGTATGAAAACTTGCATTTAGCAAAGAAAGCCAACTTTCTTTAACCGTTTTTAACATGCAATTAATAAGAAATACACATTTCATAAATCTAGTTTTCATATATCTAATACATTATTTAAATGTTTGTATATTGTTAAATGGTGCAAAATGTCTTTCGGCGTATGAAGATATCATCAAAGATATCATTACCATCAAAAACAAATAATTTTTCCTGAGCTGTACCACATCTCTCAGGTAGGCCATGTAATCATATCACTTTATCTTACTAAAAAATATGATAAAGTGATATAATTACATTTCATGATTATATGATGATTTGCTGAAAATTTTGTCTGCTAGGACATGTTAAGAAAAGAGCTATTTTAACTTATATAAAATTTATTTTGTTATTGTAACAACAATTTTACAAATATTTAAGAATTATTTTTAACATGAATCACTTGTGACAAAAGGTGTGAAATCTGTGATGTATGGTTCTCAGTCACTATACAGCTTCAAGAGGCAAACTGAGGTGGCTACCAAAACGACTCCACAAAAGGAGGTTGACTTCTTCTCGTTTCCCACTCTTGCTGCTTAATCAGAAGGCCCTGCAAAAATAAAAGAAAAATTGAATATTGAGTATTATTATTATATGAATTGCAAGATGACATGCAATATGGTAATATTTTTTTCTAGAGTGGTTTTCTAGTTTACTAATATACTAACTTGTCTAAGTGATGTCAGTTGTGACAGAATATCCTGACTTGTCCATTGTTCCACATTACCATTTTCTTCTAAATCCAAACTAACTTTCTCTGCTTTACGTTGAAGTGATCTTTGGAAATAGTCTAAAATTAAGAACAAACACTTTATGAATCTGATTCTCATATACTTCATTATCACCTAATTAATATCAATTATTATATTTACTATTGTTATTGTTATTATCATTAACGTTACCTTTATTATTGAAATGTTTTGGAGCAATTGAGAAAGATGCAGAAAAATCTTCATTGGATTTGAGTTTGGAAGCACTCCCTGCAAATGGATGTATATTACACTGCTCAAAGGTTATAACTTGTGCTTTTTTAGGAGAGGAACCGGCATTAAAAACTTTATTTTGGAATCTATTTCTTTTCTTCCCCACATAAATGTCTTGTTTTTCAGAGAAGTCATTATCAGTCATATCCAATGCAATGACAGACATGTCAGGCTTTTCTGGATCAGCTTTTTCTGAATGTTTCTGTGACTGTTGAAAATAAATAGTTTTATCTCTTGAGTTAAATGAGCTTTCCAGAGGAGATGGAGATCTACAGAAAGAAAAACGTTATTTAGAAGGTTACCGTATACAGTGAAAATGAAAGGTTCAGTACCAATTCTGGAACTAAAGAAATACATTAGTAATTATTATTAAACAAGTTAGTTTGTGTGCTTAATTATAATAGAAGGGCCATAGATGCAGACAATATACATATCACATCAACTAAACACAGGATAGATTATGTTCACGATTTCAACGGATATCAAGTTCCAATCTTAAAACAAAAACATGATATTATAATATAAAATCTATACAAGAGATGGTCTAGGTAGAAAATGATTGCCCCATTCCTATACTAGTGATCTTTACATATTCAAAAAGAATGGCGTGGGCTGTTTTCCATGCGTGGAGAGCTACGGACGATTTATTCATATTTTACTAGTAATGGCGAATGTGTTCTCCGATATGTTCCTAAATGGTTCGCTCCGTCATGCCGATGTAACTGTGACCCGAGCTCCGTGGGTTTCTCGTTCACCACGGACATCAGATGAGGTGGGTGGGAATCTTTAAATCGTACCATCTTTTGCTAAAAATTTTCATGGGCTTTGTAGGCCACATGTCGAAGCGTCCCAAAAGCTTGCCAACTGTGTCAGTGACTTCTTTAATATTGTTGGCTTAAGTCGGCTGTCAGGATTTCGGCCCTCTTTATTAATACAGTAAAGGAGCACATAAACATAACACAGTAAGCAAACGTAGGTTACGTAATGACAATGATTCTAACTGGCATCAAATTAAAATCTTTGAACAAGAAAGCAATTATAAAAGATACTTCTTTCTGAGATCCTTCATTTTTCAAAGATCCCAAATACTCTTAATGTTGAATTGGATTTAAATGACTTCATGCTCAATTGGACTTTAATCATCTTGTTGTAGATACTTAGTTGGTAAAATGTCCGACACTACAAGGAAATTGCAATTTCACTACCCCCATCTTCCACCATTTTTGTTTTTGGTATTGTGGAGAGTTTTCGTTGACATTTACAATGAGTTATTGTTGGCAATGACGTCTCATGATTATTTCACCATTTTTGTTGTTTATTTTTATTCCGTCTGTGACAGTTCTTTGTTGTTCCTCAGATACGTGTACTTGGAAACTATTTATTTCTCCCCGTGTTCCACTTCATGTTCTGGTTGTCTACGACTTCATTACGTTCTTTAATTTGTTTGAAGCGGCTATGAGAAACATTGCCATGTTTTTTTTCTATAGAATCTTGTACGCGCGGTCCAACTTCCTGGAGTTACCAATTATACCGCGAAACTACGCGTCAGGTTGATCGAAATTAGATTTCCAGCTTTAGAATTCATTGCACTATTTATTTTTAAGATATTTTTATTGTTATAAGGCGCATGTCCTTTCTCAGACTTTCTCTCCTATGTTATCATCAGGGAAACGTCCTTGACCCAGCATGTATATTTACATGCTCCAATAACACATGAAGAATACTCAAATACAAGTTGAAACTTCGTATCTTTCTTTTTGTAATTTTGTTGTAATTTTGTTCTCTCTCGCATACTACTTACGTAGTATAGATAAAGCATTGTAATGCCTGCGACAAAAGACGGTGATTTGTTCACAGAGAATCTCGTACTTTGGCAGAAAAAATATATCGCTATCTAAAAATTAATCTTCTTCCTGTTGATGAAATAAATTACTTCCTCTAACACGTAGGGTTGTCAGCATACACGTCTTATGAGTTCTTGGTACCGAACAATTGGTGGACGCTGAAATGTTTTTCTCTTCATATCAACGCTTCAATTTTCAAATAGCTTCATATCGTCATTCTTCATATACCTTCCCATTTTTTAATAAATATTTTTTCCGATATAGAAAAGGACGCTTAAAAAAGGCACAGGTCCCATTTTCATTAAACTTCCTGAATATATTACAATTGCAAACGTTACACATAATGGGAAAAAGTATGTTGTATCACTAGTTTGTAATTTTATAGTATAAAAATAATGTTGAGAACACTTGTATTGTGATATAATCTATAAATGTGTGTTTAATTTTAAATATTGTCTGCATGTATATAGCCTTAACATTTCCATAGTAATTATTGTATAAATGTATAAGTGAGATAATGGTACTACCGGCTTCTTCTGTCTGTTGAGTTTTGTCTAGTTTTCTGCACTTTCTTTTGAGAACATGTATCACTTTCAGTGCCTGTTTCTCCTCCAGTGCAACCAACACTACCATCAGTTCCTAAACATATTGAACCATTTCTGCCATTAGATCCAGTCAATATTGCAGTTCGTAATAGCTTCTGGCGCATACGTCGTTGGTAATATGGATCTCGTTCGCTTTGCTTTACGTATTGTGTTGGTGGCTTGTTGACTCCCCATTTTGGACGATCATTTATTGATAGCCGAGTCTGACTTGGTTGTGATTGAGATCTACACCGTAATGGCAATTTACATCCTCTATGAGGTCGATCCAAACTCGCAGACCTGTAAGCAATTGATTAGAACAGAATAATTAATTATACATAAATAAACAAAAAGAAAAGGATGATCGGGTAATCAGGGCAAGAAAGGTAAACTTCTTTAAATTGAATTTTTGAGGGCAGTACTCGGTGTACCGAAATCAATAGCGAAAAATTGTACAAACGTAATGCATTCAACCATTAAAGTTTACTTGATCTTGTTGAATATAACTGTATTTATCATTTATGCGTCTCGTTTTGAGAATTCATATTGACGTCATTTCAGAGTGGAGAAACAAGAGTTTCTTCTATGGATTATCGAATATATTCGAAATATTTTTTCTGAAACCAGATTTTGGCTGAGCTGTTTGCATGAAATTTCTAATTAATTATTTTTCTATTTCTTCAAATTGAACACAAACCATTTATGGCGTTTCCAATCAAAGACAGTGCAAGATGTTGAGTTCGTTGATTGAATAGTAACTCAATGAAATTCAATTTCCATTCTTTCGTCATTTAACCACAGTTATGATGGGTTTATAGTAACGAAATAGGATATACATATGCTGAAGTGCAAAGTTCCATGATATTTAAGAAAAAACAGCGTCTTACTTGCGAAGTCATTTGCCGTGGTCAGTGATACCATTTTGCCGAAAATAAAGTAGTGCCTTCGATTCATAACACTGATCAACATCATTTTTGTTACAAAGAAAGTGAAAGGTGTTCTTAGCTAATTTGTGGGTTCAGTATTGAAAAGTTAATTGAAATTTTGCCAATCATCCTTGTTTCAGACACGCTACCTTCTACTTGTTGAAGTCCTTGAAAATGCTGCATATTGGTTATTTTGCTGTGGTTTAGTTTAATTATTTTGCAGAAATAATGTTGAAAACAATGCAAATAGTGTATTAAAGAAACTTATGACTCTCAATTCAGAAATGTTTCTGATTCGTTAGCTAGCTTCTGAGCGGACCTCCGACAGACACATCTAACTGAGCGACCTAACCAAGCGATAAGAGCAGGTCCAATGTTCACGTGTATTGGTGTTGGCTAGTGCTGACTAGTGACTACCCCGAAATAGAGAGCACATTGCTACTGTCATAATATTCTACACCACGCAAACACCGATGAAATATATTACTTAAAAATGTTTTAATGAAATACAGTTAACAAAATAGACATCAGGAAATACAGTTACAGTAGTCCCAATAATTATCAATAAACAAACAAATCAGCAGCAATAGTAATTATAAATGACTCCAGCCTTTGTGCATTACCAACATAAACTACACATACCAGTACAGGGCTTACCAATACAAATTCAACAGTATTAGGTAAGTGTTCTAAATGCTGCGCTTCAGCAAGACCTTGAAATATGTCCTCAAAAGCAGCCCCTACAAGAATTAACACAGCAGCAGCCACAGATGATTGAAAATCTACAAACAGATGCACTACGTAAAGAATTCTACTTCAACACCACAACTAATGCAACACTGCCAAAAATTTCGTGGTGTTAAATCGGTACGCCTTAGAAACCGTATCACCCTCATCAATCTTAAAATTGCTTCAACAACCGACCATTGATGAACCTAATGTAGCAAAAAATCAGAAAACTGCCACAATTCCTGACGTACAATCTCGTTATAATGCGAAAATTCCAAGAGATTTGATGTGCATGAAACATCAGTGATTACTCTGAGAATGAGACAAAAGTGAAAGTAGAATTCTTCCAATTTATGGTCACCATAGCACCAAATACGTGTTTAACTCTCCAAAGCTAATTGACAAGTGTATTATAAGTGACGTGAATGTTAATTTTGTAACAAGAATTGAACATGACGAAATTGTTGAAGTGGTAATTAAACATATGCCATATAAAAATTCAGAAATTCAAAACAAACTAATTAACATTAAATACCCTACCAGTAAAATATGTAGACTATCTAACAAAAACAAACAACCATTGCAAACCGTAACCTTAGACTTTCAATTCAATAAAGCAAGAAAAAATATTTGGCCAATGAGAATGCGCCATTCAAACCATAGTGCGTAAATTAAAAGAGCAAATGCGAGAACGATGGAGTACCAAATACAGTTCACCTTTATTTTGGAAATGTTTGTTGTCGATATATGACAATGTGAACCTAATACGAATTTGTAAAAAAAGAATATATCAAACAACAGATCTTGATTTCTGTCCGACAAATATAGCTGTAACCACCTCGAGAACAAAAATAACTGGTCAATATTTTAATTTATAATCTGCCACCTTGCGTAGTCGCCGGCATCAGTTCCTTTTGAGGCTGAGGTAATGAGTGAAGGTCAATACATTGATCAGCAAGCAGAAGAAACAAGGTGAGAAGGCACGCCTGTGAATTAAATTTGAACACTTTTTTGTCTCAAGAGGATCTCTACAATCTTGTTCATAATTTAAATTTGTCGAAGCAACCGCGTCAGCTTTTGCGATTAAAATGATAGAATCTTGTTTTCCGTATTTCGAAAATTAACCTTTTTTGTGACTGCCATGTTTTTTTAAAAACTTTTTCTTAGGAAGTGAACCCGGAGTATTTGATCCCAAGTAATATTTGTAGAATCGAAAATCAGGGAATTATATCTTTTGAACTTTTCAGAGGTGGTGAAAAGATGGCACGGTTTCTTTTGCAGGTTTTACGGTTTTACTAAGTCCTTTTCAGGGAATCGTATGTCAGAAGTAAACTTCAAGTTGTTCAATTATATATTGTGATCTGGTAAGGATGTTAAATAACGTATATGTGTTATATATGGATTTCTTGTAGTAAGCTGTTTATACTGACACCTAAAACATATGGTTTATACGACCTGTGTTGTAATTATAGATATCGTTAGGCATCAAAATGTTCCTTTTCTTGAATAAGCCAGTGTTCGCAAATTACACTGATTCGTAATTGAATTGGCAGAGCAATGTTAGTTTTCCAAGTAAAGGGAAGAGAGGGTTGCAGGAATGACGTGGATACCATTTGCTTAACATTTGTGAAACTTTATTAAATCTGAAAGTCTGGGTACTATTAGGTATGATTTCCCAGAATATTATGCAGTATCTCAGGCGGAAATGCGCATTCTTAAAATACGAGCCGTATGATGGATGGCTGAATTTGAAAACACCTGAATACATAATGTATTATGTAACCTCTACCTCGCGGTTACGAGCTGAATCATTTGTAGAAAAAGAAAAACGTCGGCTTATCACCGATGAGAACTTTACCTGCGATAACCAAGTACTTTTAACGTTTGCTGTCATTTGCCTAGATTTTCTTTAATTCTTAATAAGCATTATTTCAAACATATCTCATTTTTCTCTATATTCGAATCGAAAGACGACTCCAAACCCTGCATTTCAGAGTGGACGTAACTTCAACTGTATTAATTCTCTTGACCTCCCTTATTAGTTCGGATGTCACAGTTCAAGAAAAATTAATTACATCAAGAAACCTTACAATAAAGGGGGGAGTAAGGTGTCGACAATTAAACTTAATTTATTGTTCAATTTATTTATAAGAGCATTCAATTTGAGGTTTGACTGAAAATTGAGAGCCCCAAAAATTAATGAAAGTAATTGTGATTAATTTCCCCCCTAAAAAGTCTGAAAATGTTTTTTGAAATGGCCATACAGAGATTCAAATTCAATTGCTATGCAGATAATATTTCTGACACAGAGTTTTTATAGAGTATTCTGCTGATTTTAAAGCAGGAAATGTATTTATCTTGTAAATACAATGAGAGTGATTTTTGAAGATGTTAATTACTTTTCCGTATTGTGTCATCGGGTGATACCTATCATTTTCAACTGTTTTGAAAAGCAGCATCTTTATAGGGCATATTTTAATAAGTGAGTATTAAAATGGTGTTATATGGTTTACTACATGAATTATATTATTACTACTTACTTTTTTCTTTCTTTTGGCGCGTTGAAGCCGTCGTGCTTCATTTTACTCCTACTTTTTCTACCGGTGCTGAATAAACCGCTGTCCGTCTGAGTGCCTCTCGCGTACTGGCGATACCTACTCGGCGTGAGTAACCGCTCGTCTGTTCCATGATGAGGCCTCGCCACCCCTGCTGGAGGCATGAGCAGAGCCAACTGAACGCCGCTTCCAGGGCTTGGAAGTACCTTGTGAGATGCGAGCGACCCATCTGCTGGCTGCGTTGCTTCCAGAACGATGGCCATTCCGTCAGCCGCAACGGCCAGGGCAGCATCTGTGACGAGAGCTACATTGCTGCAAAACATCAAATGCACATCTCATCTTTTCAATTTGAAAATGTTATGGAATAGTGAAATAAAAAGGCATGCAAAGTCACATATTTAACTGAGCACACACGCTCAACTTTTTTTCGTTGTTTCCAATGCAGATTGGGCAGATTGCAGTAGTAAATCTCGGACATTTGGTGAAAAGTAGTAAGTGAGGTGACATTTTTAATACAGTTAGAAAAATGGATAAAAAGTTAAGGGTTATTCATATGCTAATTATTCCTATTCGTATGGATTCAGCGTTATTTGCGTTAGTTAGGTGCAATCAATTTCCCGTCGAAAATCGTCGTTTTCAAGAAACCTGATTGCTACTTCCGGACCAATCAAAATTGTATCTATTATAAAAAATCTATTCGGTCCGATTTTCCTGCGTCAAGTGAGAGTTCACCCATTCTCTTCAACTACGACCCTTGCTGAATCAACACAGTCACCTCTCCAAATCCAATGCTCTATTACTCTACAAAATAATAATCCGGCCAACTATGCCCTCTATGCTTGTCCCATCTGGACCAATGCTGCTAATTCCAACCTAAACAAAATACAAGTTATCCAAAATAAATTTTTGAGATTAATTACAAAAGCACCATGGTTCATCGGTAACAGTCAACTGCATAATGATTTAAATATAAACACAATAAAAAACCAAATAGCCTACCTCGCACACAATTTTTACACTATCCTTCCCCTAATTCAAGCATCATCCTTCTATAAACTAGGCAAAAATCCCTATTATCAAACAAGAATTGACAACAGATATTCCCTCCATTTATTTTGTAAAATGTTCGCAAACTTGGAATAATACTAATCTGAGAGGCTTCCTGCTTCCTCTCCCAGTATCTTTTTTATATAATAGTAATGTATAATTTTAAATTAGTGTAATAGTACATTAGTGTAAGTATGTCTACCAAAAATAAAATTACAAAAAAAAACAACAAAAAAAACACTACGTGTTAGAGGAAGTAATTTATTACATATAGCAACAGGAGATCTACTTTTTCGTTAACAGCGACAATAATTTTTTTGTGCCAAAAATTTGCTGTTTTTCAGCCCACAGTTACATAATGTCTTCTTCTTATGAAGTATGTGCGAGAAAGTATAAAAAAATTGCTTGAATTGTACATTTTATGAAAATAACTTAAATATTTTCTTTATCCTTCAGCATCTATTTATCCTTTAGCCTAAGATATAATATACTAACAAAATTAAACAAATCTAAAAACCGTGGGACTAATAAAAAATGGAACTAAAAAGGTACTGTTGTGATTAATACAAAAATTTTCAGCGCAAAAATTGATGAAATCTCATAAAATACAAAACATTTCAAGATAAAATTAAAATAGAAGTGATAATAACAAGTTTGTTCAGTCTTATCAAAGAGTAAAAACGAAACGATTTAACAATCAGAACATTCAGAGAATATGAAAATTCGTTATTTCAAGATTACGATCTCCATTTCTCAAAGATGGAGCTTTCTAATGTGAGTCCACTTTCGTGCTGAATGCGAAGGACATCATGGATGTCCCAAGATTTATTCTTACCTTGGAATGTTGCTAGGTTTGTGGCTTGCTACCAACTTCGGGTGGGTTTTATCACATTTCACATCTGCATTATTACAAGGCGTAGCAACAGTGCTAATTTGCTCTTCTCTAGCGTCTGAAATATGCAATTGATTTTCGAATTGGCTAGTGGACACGGTTACATTTCTTTCAGGCTTCACGTACTCGTACTTGTTGTCAACCTCTTGTTGTTCTAATGACGTATATTTTCCTCGAGCTTTTAATTTTTCTTGTCTAGCCAATTTCTGAGCATTTTCTAGAGCTTCTCTCATAGCTTTTGCTTTCCTTGCATCTTTTTCCTGAAATATTACCATTCACAAATGTATTAATGTGTATATTTCGTGCAGCGAGTCATTTAAAAAAGATCGGAAAGTTTCGAAACAAGTTTGTTAACGAAAATTGACTGCTTCCACGGTTTTTCCACGCGGAAAGATCTGTAACGTGCATATGGCATCATTTATATGAGCCGTTTGTCTTATTGTGAGTGGACCTGTTGTTCATTTTTAAACTTGTTTACTACTACTGAGTCAATTTTACTAAGCAACTCATGTATCATTAGTACAGTTGAAAGTTAAGTTTACAAACAGATGCTGTACATTTTGTAAGATAAATTGTTTGAAAACACATTTCTTAAAAAGAACAGTGATCAATATTTCTCCACTGTGTCATATCACTGCATGGTATCACACGTTACGGGCCTTCATTACGGTTCGAAAACTGAGAAATGTGGAGAAAAATAATCAATTGAAATATGGAGAGCTTGGTGTAAAACAAGAAAAGAAATATGGAAAAGTGAGTACGTGCGGAAAGTGTGTCTTCTAAAAATTACATCGGCTTTCAAGCCGGAAGGTCCTAATATCAATAAATTACTTATTAACCACACTCATATTGACAGCAAATCTGTTAAAAAATATACAAAAATCACAACTGGGAAGATTAATATCAATGTGTATTGTGATTATCATGCAAAAAGTAAATGTACTTCTTTACAGTAAATTTATTAGGCGGAGGCTAGTGAAATGGTACTGTTTTTTCTCAAGGCAAGAGTACCGAGAAAATGATCTCTTTACAATTTGTTTTATAATTTTATTGAATTTTATTGGGTCGACCTATGGTTTTGTCGCCTGCCGCGCGCACGTAAATGTCTTGTGCTAGTAACGGAGTCATTGTTTATAAAATTATCCACTTACTAAAGAAATATTTTTGTTCTTTGATAAACTGGTGGTTCGTGCGGAATAAGAATGTATATTTCGATTTACGAAGCTTTCAGTACTACAATATAGGCTAATCGGTTTTCTGGTACAAATTTGCTTTGAATCGCCTCGCCACGCGGACCAATCTTAATCGTCTTTAAGTAGCAACAATAATCTTAAACCTAGTGTGTTTAAGAAGTTACAGCTGAAAAGAACCTTCAACACGGATTTTGCGACCAACATTCGAGATCATATTGTTGAGGTGATTCCAATACTTTTCCTCCTTGCACTACAGTATAGGGATGAAAAGTACAAAGCTTCCGTAATCACTGCTTCGTATCCTCTCGTGTTTGCATTAGGTGTGCGTTATTCTACTATACGATTGTATTGAATAGCACATGCTAATGCCTCTTGCCCAAAGAAATCGTTTGTCATCGCCAGTTTGTACGTACGTTTTCTACCGGGTGCATTTTGACAATTTCTCTATGATTGTGCAGCGTACTTTTGTATGTTACGCCTCGGAGTTAACTACAGAATGTCTCTGTTACTCGTGAAATATTTCCCCCTGATTTGTAGGTCTTTATGCACAAAGGAGGTCCTTATGCACAGATGTTTGGCAGGTCACGTTCTGAAGTAGTCCAGGCGAGTTGATGCACCTGCCGAACATCTGTGCATACCTTGTTAACCAAAAATCAGGCATAAATGCTGCATGTATAAATGAATATAACTCCGTTATATGCAATTTCCTGCTATGTTCTTGACATGGAGAAAAACACATAGTGTACGAATATGTTAAAATTACGATTCTGATATTGCGAAGACTGGACATTTGTCATGAACTGTAAGGAATAATCGCAAACGAAGAGGTGCGGGTGTTGCATATCAGAAACTTTGCGTATGAATCGTCGTTGTAAAGGCCCATCATAGTGTGAATATATTCTGATGTAAGAGATGGGATTTTACAATAATTTGTCTACATCGATCTGCAAAACAATGCAATGGATATGAACTTACACACTGCACCCACACACACAAACACACACACACACACACATACACACACAATATTAGAGAAGAAAAAAATAGTGTAAGACCATACAAACCCACACATCCATCGTTGGGATGTAGGGGCAAGTCGAAGAGGGTAACCACGAATGAGTTTTGTTTTTATTATTATTATTATTATTATTATTATTATTATTATTATTATTATTATTATTATTATCATCATTACTTATGTCTTTATTTAACGGCAAAAACAGTTAAAAACTGTGTGTGGTGTACTATGGGGAGCAGTGCAATCTGTGCACAGTTTTTGAGCTCTGGGAACTCTTATACACATTACGTTGAATTACGAATACGTATTGCAACGAGCGTTTTTGGCAAGAATTGGTAAGAAAATATTTGCTCCCAAGAACCAAAAATTATTTAGAAAGCAAATCAGCTACAGATTTTGGCTATTATTCTTTATCCTACTTTTGTGACATAATAGACTTATTGCCGTGAGAACTGGCAGATCGATTATTTGAATAACTACGTACCCCACTGAGCACACGAAACCATGCACAGAGAGTGAAGCTACATTTATGGGCAGAATCTGCACGAAAACCTGATCGATATTGAGGTCATAGACCCAGAAGCTGAGGTACAATATTTGTTAGAGGCATAATTAGAATTATTTAAAAGTATAGTATTTTCCTTTTCGATGCTCAAAATTGTCTCTAAGATATCCCGTAGAATAGATTTTTCTTGGCACTTAAAACTGTGTATCAATTTTAAACATTTAGTTACATCTAACAATGCGTTTTAAAATAATGTATATACATTGTATATAAATCTTTAGTAGTGAGCTGTTGACACCGACACAACTGATGCAGAGTTCCTAGCTTGAATAAAGAAAGGCTGACAAGACTCACGTGGGTGCGTTTTTGTGTGTTGGAAAGCAAGCCTGGTATATAGATTTCCGGACAGCGAAAGATTGTGGCTGCTCGGCGTCGTGGATGACACAGACATGTCGTTCAGGCACAGACACTGACATTGGCACCCCTGCACGCCGGCGGAGGTCGGCAAAGTCACCTATTGAATCACTGGCCGCCAACGCGCTTTTGTGCCAAATAAATTGCCTTGGAGTGGAACGGAATATTTGAATTGTGAACCCGGAAGCAGAAAAGTAGATTTTTCTCGAAATCGAAAATTTTCGTTGGGAAACAGTTGCATGAAATGTCCTCAAATAATGTAGAGAGTCTTGGCGATAAATTTTACAAGCATCATTTTCAATTGAACATTCAAAAATTCTATTATTTTCATTAAGAACTAATGGATCCGGCAACGCTTCGCTCCTGAAATGTATTATACTTCACATGCTACTGGTCACGTGTTTGTGAATCACTTTTTATGCTATGCTCTGCAAACATTTTAATAGACACAAACTTTCTCACGAGTATGGGCTTGTTCTGTGTTGGTTTGGATGGTTTTGTTCTATGTGTTGGTTTGGTTGACATGGCTGTCAATTATCCTATTGTTAAAACCTTCTCCCTCAAGTTTGGGTATGTATTCGTTATGACATTGACTTTGAAAATTTTGTTTCACTAGTCTGAGATAATGGTCAACGAATAATTTATGCCGGTATTTTACAATTGCTGGAGCAGAATACGCAGCAAAAACGCGTTTAATACATGAGGCTGCGACGGGTTGCGCAGATCTTATGTTTAAGGGCGCTTGAGTCAGCATTAACGCATAAAATTATAATCAACGCTCGTATATGTGCGACAGATATACCCACATTCCCATTGTACTAAGCCTATATTCTTCGCGCAAGTGCAAGCGATAAGTTAACAGTTTTATCATAATCGGAAGAACTGTATGGCAGTGCATAAAATGTGAACACAAAAACAATGATTTTTTATACATTACATAATCAAGTGTAACGTTGAAAGGATTCATTATCAAACACTGTGCTCTCCTCCTAACTTGTAGTGAACTTTAGGGAATCCTATTGCCATATTTTTGGCTTTACATTCCCCCTCACACCTCTCAGACAAAAGGCTCCTCTGTATTGATTTCAGCATACAACTTCACGAGCAAATCTAGATGATATTAAAAAATACTGAGAGATAGATTTATAACATTAAACGTGAATTTGAAAGAAGATTTTAAAGTTTTAAGAACGGGGAAAAGTATGTATGTATTTGGCATTTTGGGTCGATACTTCGACTATGCCGATCAGCTAAAATTGTCCCCCATGCCTGGGACTAGATAAATTCCCATGCTTGGGAGTAAGAGCGACATGTGTCGAACATGACCTAATTCCTTCTCCGTAACTAGAAAGATTTATCGTAATCGGATGTAGTAATTGCCTAAGTTTTTCGTGTCACAAAGCTAGGACGATTTTAAAGGAAAGCTACGAGTACAACTCTATTTTTGCCTAGACGCGGATTCGAACCCAGGTCTACCCCACGGAAAGCTAGCCAGTTTTCTACCCATGAGCCATTCCAGAGGCGTTGGAGTCAGATTTGCATTTACATTAAAACTAACGAAAAAGAAAGAAGGATTTGAGAGTTGAAATATTTTTTAAATCTTAAATTTCACAATTGATAATTAAAAATTTTCAAGACGTATAAATGAAAGATACGGAAAGATTAAGAGAAAACTGAAAATAGTAATGATTAATTTTTACGATCTTCTTAATGTGTTTGTCATCACGTCCTACTAGGTTTTCATGTTTGAAAAAAATGGCTTTTCCTTTGTTTTAGTGTTCTGTTCTAATTATAAATGTGTGTACAAATTTTCAAATTTGAAATTTATTTTAAGTATGTATAGGATATAAAATGCATACTTTAAATAACTTAATATGAACCAGACTCTACTGCACTGATGTAATAAATTAAGCATCAGGGGACTCATTGATAACGAAGAGAACATTTATAAATATTATTCATAAATTAATGAGCAAGAAATTGACAATTATATGATTTATAACAATGAAATTTAAACTTTTAAATGACGTTCAAAATTTAAAAGTATTTTGTAATTATATCTTCAGTTTCATTATTCACAAAACACTGTTTTTAAAATCCGAATAGAAAAATTTATTTAAATACTCTCATTTCTTGTAAATTTTGAACTGCTGACAAAACAGGGTGTCGAAGTCTACTGTATATTTTCCAATTTGTATAATCCAATCAATGGATTTTTTACAATTAGACATTGAAATGGACACAGATTGTAAAATGTATTTTATATCAAAATATTTAGCTTAAGTGATATGATCGTCACACATACTAAACGGATCAATGGCTCAGAATGTATTTCCACGCGACCACAGAAAAAACGGAAATAGTTATTTTTCTATTGGGTGCATGCAGTTTCATTGCTTTGTCAACGATCGAAATTAGTGCATTTTTTGCTGGGACGGATAGGTCGAGGCAAAAAACCTCAATCGAGATCAAGGAAAAGCAATAACTTCACTTACGAAGTATAAACATTTTTTTTAAGATCACACAAAAATGCTTATATTAAGAGCCGTGAGTTGTTTTATCTCCACTCTTCTTGGTTTACTGGAAACGAAGCCCACCTTCGTTTTACGTTTGTGTTACAGAAGGCCGTGGTTTTGCGACATAAGATAATTACTCTTTGTTCCCTACGAGTTCCTATTGTGTTTTTGGTACTTACTGGTTACAATTATTGAATTTAAAATGATTAAAAACAATGCTGGCTTTTCGTACAAATTGTTCAAATCTACGGATGCTACAGTACCTAATTTAATACACATCATTTCTAAGATATTTACGAAAATAACTTACCATCAGTTGAGAAATTGGTGTACATTTACATGAGAGTTGAAACGAGTTTCATAATGCATTGTATGTTAACAGTTACCTACTAATTATGTATTAACAGATAATTATAAGTTAATATTAATTTGGAAGTATTTAATAACAGTGAAATTGAAGTTGTTTTGCCATTAATGTGTGTTATTTTCTTCTTATTTACCAATCGAGCCCAAAAGTCTTTTTCGCACTGAAACTTCACAGTGAAAAAAAGTCTTTCACACACAGTGACACGTTTTTCAGATGTTTTAAAAAAAGATTAAATTCACGCACGCGTATTCACGAGCACGTAGACACCCACCTTTTATTATCATCGTAGAAAAACATTTTTTTGAAAGAATAACAAATAAAGTTCAGTATACTCACTTCTTTTTCTCTTTGTTTAGAGAGTTCTTGTTCATATCTTTGTTGTTCTTGCTTTTGTTCTCTTCTTATTCTTTCCTCTTCTTCTCTTTCCTCTCTTGCCCGCCTTTCACGTTCTTCTTTCCTCTTTCTATCCCGTTCTTCAAGCTGTGTATCAGTTGAACGATTATCAAGCTTTAATGTACTCACGAAACATTCTTAATATTTTCAAAAATAGATGAAAATACCTGTTCTCTTATTGCTTTTTGGTGTTCTAACGCTTTCTGTCTTTTACGTTCTCTTTCTAATAAAACGTCAGGCTCAAGGGGAACATTCTGACCACGCAGATACGTTCTGAAATATAAAAGTAGCACGTAAGAATTAAAAAATCCACTTTAACACACTCCCAATTACATAGAAATACAGAAAAGTAGTAAACTTATATAATACTCTTCCCAAAATATGCTCCAAGAAAGAGACCAGAATTAGGGAATTATTGAAAAGATGCGCAAGAAACATAGAGGGAAAGCAGTGTAAAATGGATAAGTGATGTATAAGTGAGTAGGTGTGTTGTTATCCATTGTTTCTCACATGCAAATATCATTTTTGCCGGCAAAATATAATTTCCTCATTTCTGGAAACATTCTGGAAACAAAGAATGGGAATGGTGTTCTTAGCAAAGACTTGGACACATAATTTAAATGTGAAATCTGCTTTTGCCTATCAGGCTCAGATTTCTTTTGACACTCTACTCTCAATTTATGGGTATGCTTGAAAAAACTGCATATTGGTTATTTTGATGCAGCTTTATTTAATAATTCTGCAGATGTAATTGTTCAGGAACAATCGAAATGTGTACTAGGAATTCCTATACAGACACTGAATTCAAGAAATTCACCTCTAGGAGGTGAAAAAAGTTTGGCAACATTGCTGATTGATCATGCTCGAACAGATAGAATCGCCTTGTGTTACTTGCCAGTTGCGTCCCAGCATTGAAAGTTCTGAAGGCGTTGCCGGGCCTTTGTAAGGAAAAAAAAATAATGGATAAATCTTGTTCCTTGTGTAGTATTTTACTTCCTCTAACTCATGTAGTCCGAATCCATATTTTGTGAGTCCTTGATACCAAAAAATGGATTTAAGGGAAAACGTCTGACTGTCCGTTCGTCGTTCTGTGATCAACGCCAGCGCCTACCATTCAAACGATTTGCTCTAAAATTGATATTCCTCGTTGTATTTAAAGGAACGTAAAGCCTTACGAGTTTTAAGCGGATATTTGGATTTTTTGGGTACTTCTTATGGAGCCTTAAAGTTTTAAAAATGTCTCAAAAATGGCACCAAATATATTTAAACCCCTTTTTCCGGTGTCTTCCTACAACTTCGACATTGAAGATATATATTTTTTCTTTTCACCAAAATCTGTTGCTAAAGACATGTTGAAAGAAGGTCATGTACAATGTTTTGAAAAAAAGACGCATATCTGATATTCGTTGAACTTTGATTTTCGTATGTTTTTTTTGTTGAACAAAACATATAAGAGGTTCATGGATATAATAATTTCTAGGAGAGTAATGATGTATGAAATATAGTAAATGTACTTTTTTATGACAGACTGAACTGGTTTCTTCTCTAAATCAGACGTCAACCCAGAATCTGGCGGTTTAGCTTAATACAATTCAGAAACGGTATGTCCATAGTAAACATAGTAATTTGAAAAGATTTAAGAGGACTCGAGAGATTAAACTCGTTTAAAAAAATGTTTTTGTGTTCTATAGCAATTTTTTCCTCTGTCAGAAAATATACATATTTTGCTTGTTTGAGCTTTCAAAATACTTTTTACGAATTTTTAAAATTTCAGTGTCAGGATGTTCGCGTTCCTTAGTCTGACGAACTATCTCCATGCCGTGCTGTATTTTCAGTTTGTTATAAATATTTCGAGTCCTGTTACGGCAGAAAATTCTTTTGAGTAGTGAATTTTGTGTATTGTTGTGTGTGTTGCCATCAACATTGTAACAATTGAACAATGTAACGATTGAATGTAACAAAAGAACGTAGAAACTAAAATTATCATTTATCTTTTTCCACAAAGTACGTATTCTGCTACATAAGTAATTTTTTTCTCAAAAATCAATAGACCAATTTAATTGAAATTTTTTAGGTAGTTTAAACAATTACTATTTCACACTTTGACAAGGTGTTTTTGATATTTAGATTTTAAACAATAGTGTTTGTATTTGAGATTTCAATTTTGCAAACTTCACGCATAGGATCTTTCATCTTTTCTTTTGCACATAATCACAAAACAGTTAAATAAATAATGTTAAAATGTGTATAAATGTTCACTGCAACTACAGAAAAATTCAGATTCATCTGTCAATTAGAAAGCAAGAAGAATATACTTATGATAGTATAGCGAAGCATAGAACTCCCGGGTCCCCAAAGGAAACAAAAAGTAGTTGTGGTAGAAGTAATGCAAGTTTCCACATCTAATATAGAGCAGTTGATGAATAAATAGTATGCTTTGTAGAGTATGACATTTGCAGCTCTATTTAGAGCGAAACATTTATATAAAGAAATTGACAGTGATGAACCAATCGACAATGAAAGCGGTCGAGACTAGATCGAAAAGTAGGAGAATCGATTAGAGAAGAAATTATGACCAAAACTGATGTTTTCCGATTAATTTGTGTGATGTTGTGACCCCTCGAATTTGAAACGATATACATTTGAAACGATGGAGGTTATATAATGGCAATCTATTACTCACAATTAGATCTTCAAATGCTTTTATGGGCACGTTTTATATATTTACATGCTAATGGGGCGCCAACTACTAATGATGACGACAATGGATACTTGTGAGCGAGGAAGGCAATAACATTCATGTAGTATAAATTTTTCTTCTGTTTACAGTCGTTTCGTTCGTGACTGATTCACATTGCAGTATCATATTCATCACAAGTGCATCACAATACGAACGGCAATTGAAATGGACATGGCAAATAAAACAATTTAACAATAATCAATACACGCTCCTAAGTTAACCCTTGTAATTAATGAGTCTATTCAAATAGACTGTTACATTCATACAATAATCTGAATAACAATTGAAAATATAGTACTAGAAGGCAAAATAAAGGAAATAAATATTCTTCTGATGTATATTGTTGGACAGAAACCACAGCAGTACAATTTACGGAAGGACTGAAATGAATCGTTTATGTAATTATCATCATTTATAATCGTTTATTGTAATCATTTATGAAATGAATCATTTTCAGTTTCATTGAATTTTTAAAATTAACTTATTATTTTTATGTTTTTATTTTCCGTGTAACAACCAAGAGGAGTGTGCGTGACGTCAGAGTGGGGAAAGTCACATTAAGTATCCAGAAGCTAAAAGAGGGATCTCTAAACTTATAACCACTGGGTTAAGGGAAAGAGGAGGAGAATCGGAACGGAATGGAGTCGAAGACCCAAAAGATTCGAATTACCTTTCACAATCACTACTGATTTTTGTATTTATTGTGCTGATATTGTCACAACTACTTCCGAGGCTACAAGGCATAGTAGGGCGATGGTTTATAACTAATACTTGTGAATCATCCAGTTTGCTGAGCCCTCGTTCCAACCAGCTGGGAGTGTCGCGATCACTTCCTTGCACCTGCAATAAAGTAATAATGAAAAAACAAGAATGCAATTAAAATGAACGATATAACCTTAGTAATATTAATTTAATCAATCACTGTCATTATTGTAAAAAGACAGTGACAGCGGCAATAGTTTTCTGGTTCTAAAATAAGAGCTTTGGGGACAAAATTGTAGTCGTCACCCATTAAAGAATAATCTATCACAATTATGTAGACTGTATTTCCATTTTGAATCATTAAAGATCTGTTGGTGCTTTTGTCATTGATAACATTTGTCAGCAAAGAAAAGTCATCAGAAGAAAAGTAATGTCAGAGTTACCATTCGTCATATCATGATTCAAAATCTGTACTCAGATATTTCTATCACATAAAGTTTCTATGATAAGGCTGGGTCTTAATGTAGAGGCAGGCTCAACTTTCTAAACAGTATGGAAGTTCCATGAGGGGCTGTTGAGAGGGAAGAAAAAATCTCTCATTTTACAGAAGTTGTGATAAGACAATGATTGATAATACCATTCAACTGGTTTACGCGACTGGATGGCCAAGCAAAATGTTTTTAATACCATTTTCAATTCCCTTGGTATAGGGCCAGCCAATACGTCTCTGTGCTACATTTGTTGTACCGTTATTTAAAGTTTTCCGAAGCTCGAATAGACTTACGTTCACCTAATAATACGGCATGAGTCCGATTTTCATTAAAACCTTTGGGATTTCGAAGTTTGCTATTCCCATTATTCTACCTTGTCCTGCAATGATATTGATGTAACTCGAATAGAGAGATTTCTTTCTTAATGTTATCTACTTCTAGATGCTAGATCCTCATAAACTTTCATGTACATGTTTTCGATATAGTAGTATTATAGTAATTTTGAATTAAATCGTGAGAAATTTCTTAGTTCCCCAATCACTTGAACAATACTGAATATAAGCATTCACTTGTCAACGGGCCTGATAGACTAGTTTATATCATTCTGGCTAACCTGTAAGACTGCTGTTGGGGCTTCATGAAATGTAACACAAATATTTGAAATATTCGTTTCAAAATCAAGGAAACATTAGCCAGATCGACAAAGGAATATCAGTTTCGTTGAAATTCCAATGTACGGTTTAGGCACTAGTATTATTTCTAACATTTGCAATCTTTGAAAAATTCAAAGAGTTCAAGTAAAATGACACCACCAATTTAATCATCCTTTTTTACTCTGTCCGTGAAAAAGAAAGAAAAAAATTACAGCTATTTTGGAGAAAAAGTTTTTTTTTATAAATTGCATGAAGTTTAAACAGAAATTAGGTGAAAACGACATGTTTATTCAAAATAATATACTACGTGACCTTCTTAAAGTTATATTTTTTTAGAACAGATTTCATTTCAGACAAAAATATCTTCAATACTATTCTTTTACAATGTCAGTTATTTGCAATTTTCAAAAATACAAAGAATTCGGCGAAAATGGGACCAATACAATTTTTATACCGCCCTTAACGAGGATAAAATTTAGAGAAGCAATTTGAGCAATTTTTGAGCAAAGAATTCTTCAAAAATTGCTGATAATTCACTCAAAATTATGTAAAGACCACATTCACTCAGTAAATATGTGTTGCCGTATTTTCCTATATGCCAGTAGACCGTATATTTAAGCTTATAGGCCCCCCTGACGTTTATGTCCCCTTCAGGTTTTTGGATGAAAATTGATGATTTTCAACAGGTACTAAGAAAATTACTGATGTTGGATATAATAAATTCTATCTATAAGTAGCACTGAAAAATAAACAATAATTTTTCAAAAAGTGTTTCGCTTTATTTTCAGATACTCGTGTATTATCCCCCTCCATTCTGTTGGAAATTTTTGAAATAATGGAAGTTTATATTTGAGAAAATACGGTTCATAATGTATCAGTTCCAGCGAGACAAACCGCATCGTATTATTGATCGTCCTCGCTGTATTGCTTTCGCGGTCTCGGAGATCGTGTGCGCTCCCCGTCAGCTTCTATCTGTGCGTCGCGCTCTCTGTCAAGGCTCGAAACGGACAGAACCGTTCATTCTCGGCTATTATCGGCAGTTGGAAATAACGACAATCTAGAGGAACGGAGCCTTTCCGCTAGAGAATCGGCGGAGGGTGTTTCGTGCGCAGTTTCTTAGTCGTTTCGAAGTGTTTCGCGTGTGATGAGCACCGTTATCTACCTTGCGAAGGAGCAAGTAATATAAAGTATAATTTTTACAATAAACTAGCGGAGTAACAGCAGAGCATACTTTCTCGCATTATTTGTATTGGTAACTCAAAATGTGTTTCCTTCTGTTAGTCTGTCTGTCCGTGACCGTCATTCTCTGCGCGTGTCTGTGGTCAACGCTAGCGCCAAAAGCGTTCAGCCGATTTTTTCCAGAATTGATATCGAAGGATCTCGAGATCCAATGTGTTTGAAACATATATTTTGACTTTTTGCAGAACTTTACATGAAGCCTCAATTACATTTACAAAATTTCCTGGAAAATGGATTAATTTTTTTTTCATTCAACTTCAGATAGCGTAGAACACGCTTAAGAAAATAGCTGAGATCTCGTTTTAGTTAAAATCTGTGTATTTTAGAAAATTGCAAAAGTTCAATTTGTACGCGTTGATTCTGACAACCCAACGCATTATATTTATTTTTTTTAATACAAAGTAAAACTGCACTTTTATGGTTAGCAGGAATTCACAATAGTAGTTTCTTTGGAAAACTACCTCCTTTCGCTTCTGCTTTGCAGTTCTTTCTCTATACTACGTAAGTACGTAGTGGACAAGAAAGTATAATTGAAGATACGAGGTAAATGTGTTTAAAGCTTTCAATGACAATGGAAGTGCAGGAATCACATACTTAATAATTAACAGATAAGGAGAAATTCCTCTTCTACTAAAACTTCTATTAAACATAACCCTTCTACTAAAGAATTAACTAATTTAGCTGTTACCACAGAAGAAGCCCTAAGCAGTATTATTGATAATCTTCATTCCAATTCCATTATAATTAATTGTTCTAAACCCTGTTGGATGAAGTTAATAGACCTCCACCACCATCTCCACCATTACTTATAAAATCCACTCATAAAATAGTGGAACTTAAAAACTTAATAATTAACAAAGCTGATAAAGGCATTTCTATTGAAATTATACACAAAAATGACTACATTGATAAATTGCAAACATTTTTAGATGAAAATGAATTTACTTGGCTTGACAAGGACTCTTCTCCATCTTTTCACCAAAAGGTCAGAAACACTATACTAACCAACTCACTTATTGCGCAACATAAAAAGAAATCCCTTCAGATTATGAATGTACAATGTCCTAGGTTGTATGGGCGTATTAAACTACATAAAGAAAAAATTCCAATTAGACATGTTGTTCGTTTTTTCAATTCCAGTATTTCATCCCTTTGTAAATTTATGATCACTCTTTTCAATGCTACCACCCATTTTAACCCTTGATTCAAACTGAATAATCCTTAGATATTATTTATAAAATTAAAGACATTGATGTTCTCTCCAATGCAAACTTAGTTTCTTTTGATTGTAGAATATAGTTACAAATATTCCCCCTAATAAAGTCCAAACTATTTATATTTATCATATTATGAAATCTAATCTATCATATTGGTTAGAGGAAATAGATTTTATCTAACTAAATGACTTATGCATAACACACATTTTTGTCACTTTCAACAACAAATAGTATTCACAAACTGAAGGATTAGCAATGGGGTCTAACTTTTCCCCTCTTTTCGCTGACCTGTTCATGCTAATTTTGAAAAAAAGATATTTTATAGCAAGAACCCTCAAAAACATTATTTATTTTAACAGGTATGTCGATGACATTGTAGTAGTCGCCCGCGTCCCGGGGCGCGGGCACCGTGGCGCGGAACCGGCACCGGGGCGCAGCAGCGAAGCGGCGGCGTCCCAGGAAAATATGGGAGATCGCTGAGGTCGGGTTCAGCGGAGCCGTCACGCTTCGGTGGGTGTGAACGAGCGCGTCTTCGGCCATACGGCCGGGTCTTAAAATTCTCTATGGAAATTGAACATAACCATTCCTTGAATATACTTGATTTAAACATTACTAATAAAATCTCTAAACAGCTTTTTAAAATATTCAGAAAACCCAATTATACAGATTCATAATAATAATTGTCTGTTTTCCACTCCTGGATCAACAGACTATTCCAGGTTCCTATATCAGATATAGATTTTAATAATGAAGTCCATACCATTCTAACCATTGCGTTAAATATTGGTTATCACCCTCTGTCCATCAATAAACGTATCTGCCAAAAAGGTGTAAAAATGATTTTGAATTGTTTTCCTCATCATTGCCCTCTAGAACTTAATAAATTTATTAGCATTCTGTTCGTAGTCCCAGTGTCTACACGTGCTTCACTAAACACAATATTTCAGTAGCGTAAAAAACTTTAAACTCACTCCAACCTTTATTCCCTAGTTCCAAATCACCTATCCCCCCATTGAAAGAAGCGGCATTTATCACCTTACTTGTAATATCTGTGATTCAGCCATGTAGGCCAAACAGACAGAAAATTTTCAAGTAGAATTAATGAACATATTAGATGTTGGAAGCAAAATTTAGACACTGTCACCTTTGCTAAACATTTGATTAAACTTAACCATTCCTTTGACCATCATTACAATTATAAAATCCTTCACTTAGTCAACAAAGGCAAAAAATGAACATTTTAGAGAACTTGGGAATTCTAAAACGTTTCAAAAATTCTATTTTTTCTATCTTTAATGAACATCCTTTAATTAAATGCATTTTAAATCTTTTTATTCACTAGCTTCTAATAATTATTTTGACTTTAATTTTTTTGCAAAATTCTTTACCTAGTCAACTTCTTTAAATTATGAACTTTTTGTATTTTTAAAAAAATTTAAAATACTAGAACCTTTAAAATTTTCCGTCTCATTTCTAAATGAAAAACAGTCAATTTTAAATCTGTTTATGATTACCCCTTCTACTCCTTCAGGTCCCTCCCCCCAACATCTTGGTAGTCTTTCTCTTCTCTCTATTCCACAAGACGGCTGCCACCTAGCCGATACCATCACGTTTTTCAGTTTTGTGTAGTTATCCGACCACATTGTGAACGTTTCTAAGTGATCCATGTTGCTTGGGCAGTGAGTATTTTTAATTTTATTTATTTATTTATATATTTATTTATTTATTTATTTATTTATTTATTT